CCTACAGGCAGCACTCACAGAACGGCCCCCTCCTCACACTCGCCCCCCACCCAGGGCAGGGTGGGGAGGCCCGCGCCTCTGCACACGCTTGGCGCCTCCCGTCCCTTCTGTCCCCAGATCCACTCCCGTCTCTGTAAGCAGAGCCCGCAGCGGGTGGGGCTGCTGCCGTCCCCATTCTCCAGAAGAGGAAACTGAGGTCTGGAGAGGGCTGCCTTCTCCCGGCCCCGCCGTGGGGCGTGGCTGAGGCCGGGAGCTGGCAGGCTGGCAAGAGTCTTGCTTCTAGGCTTCCCAGGTCACAGGACGCTGGAGCCATGCTGTCTGCGTGCACACCCTGGCGCCTCTTCCTGGCCTTGGTCCCTGTCACTTGGTTTCCTCGCCTGTGAAGCGGGAATGACGGTGGCGCACAGCTCAGGAGTGGGCTCCTGCGTGCTAAGTGCTTTGCATTGCAGGGGCGCACCGTGGGGGCGGCGTGGGTGTGGGCTGTCGCGCTGACGATGACAGCATTGTCCACCCGACAACAAGCGGCGGTGTTGGGGTGGCACCAGCGTGAGGCGGGGTCCTCTTCTGGCTGGAGGAGTCGGGGGCAGGAGGGTTCTGTGGCCACCTGGCCACTCAAGCTGAGTCTGAGCCCCGGGTGACACCCCCTCTGGCTGCTGGTCCTGCGTCACACGGGTGGCCCTGGGAGTGTGCCAGGGACCGGGCCCTCAGAAAATGGGGCTGGCAGGCACTTCCCTGCCCCCTGCCAGCTGCAGGGCTGCTTGAGGGAGGACGGAGCTTGCTGCCCGGTCCTAAGGGCAGGGTGAGTGCCCTTCTGGGGGGACTCTGTTTCCGTAAGCCTGCGAGGGTCCTGTGGGGTGTGGGACGGAGGGGAGTGGACTTGGAGGCAGACTGAGCGGTGGCCGGTCATCGCAGGGTCCCAAGGGACACGGAAGGGTTGGGGTGTCAGACTTCTCAACCCTCCACTTTTACCCCATAAGCATTCTGTATCAGGCTGGGATGGGGTGGGGACTTCCGCCAGCCCAGAACGCTTGGGACTTCTGGGGAAACTGAGCCTGGGATGGGAGCCGAAGGGGCCTCCCAGGAGATGGGCTGGATTTCGTGGAGCGAGACGGAGGGAAAGCCTGTCCTCACAACAGGAAGAGTGAGGCAAAACTGGGAGATGCGGGAGGGTGCTAGTGGCCCATGTGACAGTCTCAGGGCGAGAGAGAGGTGAGGCTGGGAGAGGCACTGGGGCCAGAACTCGCGGACGGATGTGGAGTGTCACGCCAAGGACCTCGGCTTTGTCCTGGGGCTGTCCGTTGCCATGGGGCATCTGTGGGCCGGAGAAGGCTCTGTCCCAGCCCACTGGCAGGCACACCAGGGTGGCCGGCCGGAGGATTCCCAGGGCCAAACCTGGACCGTAGCCCTCCCTCCCTGACCCCTGCTGTCCCCAGGAGGCCTCCAGTCGCAACCTGGTGACCCTGCGTGTGGACCCCAATGGCTTCTTCTTGTACTGGACCGGCCCCAACATGGTGAGAGTGGACCCTAGGACCGCTTGCTCAGGCCAAAGGCCCCCAGCCCAGACCCCACCCTGCTTGTGGGGGGTGGGGCCCCACTGCAGGCTGACCTCTCCCCGGCTCCCCACAGGAAATGTTCGGGACAGGGGCTGAGGCTGGGGCTACAGCCAGGGGGTGGCCACTCCCTGGCCTGGGTGGGGAGCTTGGGGGCTCTGGGCAGTCGCCCTGCGGCCTCTCAGACCTAGCCTGGTATCTGGTTTCCCCAGGAGGTGGACACACTGGACATCAGTTCCATCAGGGACACGCGGACAGGCCGTTACGCCCGCCTGCCCAAGGTGAGTGCCCAAGGTCCCAGTCCTGGGACCAAGTGAGGCCGTGGGAACTGGGACACGCCCTCCTCACCTTCACCTTGTCTGCTCAGGACCCCAAGATCCGGGACGTTCTGGGCTTTGGGGGCCCTGATGGCCGGCTGGAGGAGAAGCTGATGACAGTGGTGTCTGGGCCGGACCCAGTGAACACAGTGTTTTTGAACTTCATGGCCGTGCAGGACGACACAGCCAAGGTGGGCTGGAGCCCAAGCAGCGAGTGCCTGCCGTGAACCAGACCCACTCCTGGGCCTGGGCTGGGGCTGGGCACCCCTCGGCCCCCGACTCACCCTTGCCCGTGTGTGCTGACCCCCCAGGTCTGGTCCGAGGAGCTGTTCAAGCTGGCCATGAACATCCTGGCCCAGAATGCCTCCCGGAACACCTTCCTGCGCAAAGCGTGAGCCCCGGCCCCCACAGGGGTTGTGTGGGGCTTCAGGTGGGCGTACCCAGGGTGTGACCCCTTTACCGCCTCCCAGGTACACGAAGCTGAAGCTGCAGGTGAACCAGGACGGTCGCATCCCGGTCAAGAAGTAAGCACCCCTCCTCCCAGCACTGCCCCCCTGCCCGACCTTGGTGACCTTTGCCCCCCACTGACCCTGACCCTTCCCCTTCCCCCTGCATCAGCATCCTGAAGATGTTCTCAGCAGACAAGAAGCGGGTGGAAACGGCGCTGGAGTCCTGCGGCCTCAATTTCAACCGGGTGTGTGGGGTGGCAGCTGGGCGGGGCGGGGCGGGTGTCCCGGTGGGCGCCCCTTCTCCTGGGCCGGCTGCCCCTGGGTTCTCACCCCATGCTCCTCGGCACCCAGAGTGAGTCCATCCGACCCGATGAGTTTTCCTTGGAAATCTTCGAGCGATTCCTGAACAAGCTGTGTCTGCGGCCGGACATTGACAAGATCCTTCTGGAGATGTGAGCAGGGCCGGGCTCACCTCCCAGTGTCCTGGGCTCCGAGTCTGGTCCTGGTAGCCGTGTGAGGACAGGGCGAGCTGCTGGCTGGTCCCCAAGCGCCGGGCAGGGTGGTTGGGACCTGTCTGCCATGTGTCCCTGCTCAGGGCCGCCATTCCTGCCCCGTGATGGCCGGCTCTGGACTGTCCCTTTGCCGAGGCTGGTTTAATCAGCCCACCCCGCAGGTGGGAACCAAGGCGGTACGTGTCAGGGACCTGTCTGAGCTCATGTGGTGAGCAAGCACTGGATCGGGATTGGATCCAGGGTCTGGAAGGGGGTGTGGGCCGAGCCTGTGGCTGCTCCTGAGCGAGGCAAGGGAAGCCAACATCAGGCCAGGCTGCTGCCTCGTCAGCACCGAGCGGTCAGGAGAGCAGAGGGGAAACTGAGGCTCGGAGAGGGCAGTGCCTTGCCTAGAGTCCTACTCGGTGGGTACCAGAGCCAGGAGCAGGGCTAGGGGGCATTGAGTCTGCAGCCTGACTGTGCTTCCGGCCCCTCCAGAGGCGCCAAGGGCAAGCCGTACCTGACGCTGGAGCAGCTCATGGAATTCATCAACCAGAAGCAGCGGGACCCGAGACTCAACGAGGTGCTGTACCCACCCCTGCGCCACTCCCAGGCCCGGCAGCTCATCGAGAAGTATGAGCCCAACCGGCAGTTCCTGGAGCGAGGTGAGCCTGCGGGCACAGGTGGCGGTGCGGGCGGGAGGGGCCCCAGCTCACCGCGCTGCCCCCCCAGACCAGATGTCCATGGAAGGCTTCAGCCGCTACCTGGGCGGGGAGGACAATGGCATCCTGCCCCTGGAGGCGCTGGACCTGAGTGCCGACATGACGCAGCCGCTGAGTGCCTACTTTATCAACTCCTCCCATAACACCTACCTCACAGGTGAGTGGGGGCTGCCTGTGACCTTTGCCCTCCGCCCTCCGGCCCTTGCACTGCCCCCTCCTCCGGGGCACAGTTCTGGCTCATATGCTCGTTCATGGCCAGTGCTAGCGTGCAGACAGGGAATGAGCGGCCCGCCCCAGGGAAGCGGGGCTTCTCTGTCCCATAGTGGACAGCAAGCTTCCCTAGGCGAGGGCTGAGGTCTGCTGCAGCTGGGGCTGTGAGGAGCGCCTGGAGAGGAGACTGCCTGGTGCCTTGAGGAAGCAGAGAGGCTGGGCGCAGTGGCTCAGCCTGTCATCCCAGCACTTTGGGAGGCTGAGGAGTGTGGATTGCCTGAGCCCGCGGGTTCGAGACCAGCCTGGACAATTTGGCAAGACCTCGTCTCTATGATAAATCAAAAAATTAACTGGGTGTGGTGGCACACACCTGTAGTTCCAGCTACTTGGGAGGCTGAGGCAGAAGGATCTTCTAAGCCCAGCAGGTCGAGGCTGCGGTGGCAGTGAACGTGCCACTGCACTCCACCTGGGCAACAGAGTGAGACTCCGACTCAAAAAAAAAGCAGAAAGTGCAGGGAAGGATGTCTCATGCCTGTAATCCCAACACTTTGGGAGGCCAAGGTGGGAGGATTGCTTGAGTCCAGGAGTTTGAGAATAGCTTGGGCTATATAACAAGCTCTCATCTACAAATTAGCCAGGTATGGTGGCGCATGCTTATAGTTCCAGCTATGCAGGAGGCTGGGGTGGAAGGATTGCCTGGCTACAGTGAGCTGTGATCACGCCACCGCACTCCAGCCTGGGCGACAGAGAGTCTGACTCCAACAAGAAAAGCCAAAGGGAGGCGGGGAAGGCGGCTGGGGCAGGCGTGTGGTGAGAGGGTGGCTGTGGAAAGACAGGGCTGGGGGGGTCATGGGCGGCGTTAGGTTTTGTGAATAGGAGAGGGAGGCTTTCTGGAGGGTGTGAGGCAGAGGAAGTGATGTGACTTGGTGTGTTTCCAGGATGACGCCAGGTACTCTGTAGAGACTGGACTGGCGGCAGGGTGGGCCAGCGGTGCCCCGGCAGGACGGGGTGGAGGCGGTGCTGGGCAGAGATGGCGGAGGGGTGAGGGGAGGGAGGGACTGTCGAGGTCATGGAGAGCCCTGGTGTGCGTTAGGGATGACCCCTGCCCGTTCAGGCTGACAGCTGCCTGCTCTGTGTCCACTTAGGGTGGCACCAGGGATCGGGGGCAGCACATGGACCTGCCCTGGGGGCTTCCGATCAAAGTGGCGCTGGTTCCCCAGCGAATTAAGGAGCGATGGGGCTGGCCAGACAGTGTGTCGGGGCCGGACTGGGCTCCCACAGGGCCCTCCACGTCCACAGCGTGGCTTGGCTTCTGGGGGTCGGGCTGGCAGGGGCTGGGCGGTCGGTGGCCGAGCTGATCCGTTCCGGCCCACAGCGGGGCAGCTGGCCGGGACCTCGTCGGTGGAGATGTACCGCCAGGCGCTGCTCTGGGGCTGTCGCTGCGTGGAGCTGGACGTGTGGAAGGGCCGGCCGCCCGAGGAGGAGCCCTTCATCACCCACGGCTTCACCATGACCACGGAGGTGCCCCTGCGCGACGTGCTCGAGGCCATCGCCGAGAGCGCCTTCAAGACCTCACCCTACCCTGTCATCCTCTCCTTCGAGAACCACGTAGACTCGTGAGTGGGCCCTGGCAGGGACCCTCCCCCCACGTGCGGTTGAGCTGTCCGGGGACCTCCGACCCTGGGAACTCCCCCGACTGCCCCATGGACCTCGGCTCGTCCCGGGAGCCTCTGACCTCTGCCCCTGGCCGCACGGGGGGAAACATCAGGCCGAGATGGCTGAGTACTGCCGCTCCATCTTTGGGGACGCGCTGCTCATCGACCCGCTGGACAAGTACCCGGTTACGGGGCCTGGCCCCGAACTATGAAGACTACTGTTTATTTTGTTAAATAAGGCATTTGGGAGGACCCAATGA